CTCATGTAAAGTTCGCGAGAAAAACGATGGGGCTACTGGTTTTTTCTGAAATCAACTCCTAAGCTCAAAAAAGCTCTCAAGTTGAGGCCATGATGGAAGGGATATCCCACGCTACCCTGAGAGTCCACCTCTACATGAAGACAAACTCTCCATGCAAAGATAGGGAGCAAATAAATTAGCATGGTTGCCGTGTTTTCTGTTTTAGAGTCCCTAAATAAAGTGGCAGCCCTGTCAATTTATTTGCTTCCTATCTTTGCATGGAGAGTTTATCTTGATGTAGACGTGGACTTTCAGGGTAGGGTGGGATATCCCCTCCATTTTGGCCTCAACTTGAGAGCTTTTTTTGAGCTTGGGGGTTGATTTCAGAGAAAACCAGTGGCACCATCGTGATTCTCACGAACTTTTACATAAGAATTAACAGTCAAATCGCAAATTCCTCACACATGTAACATCTCCATTAGAGGGGTTGGACATGAACTTTTTGACTAGAACTGCAAATTTCGATGTTCATTTCATCATATTTCAAAGTTCGAGGGGTGCTAATGGAAGAGAATTTCACGAGAAAACCAATGAAACCACCTTTAGCACCTTAAAATTTTGTATGAATAGAGTTTTAAGCTTTTAAAGTTTCCAAATTTTGTCCAATCTCTCCTATTAACTCGATCTACTGTGCGCGGTTGCCCCCCGATGAATTACCCCCGCACCGCGGATGATGCTTTGTGGGAGGCTTTTGATTTCCTCCGTGCACCGGACCACCTGTCGCTTTGATTCGCACGACTCGCTCGGTTATTGGTCTTTGGAGGCGGCCATTGTGCTCCCCCCCCCCCTCTCACAATGTGCCTATATGCAAGTGTGAGGATAATTACGCAGGAATGGGAAGTAGCGAATCTGCCTTTATGGAGGATCCGAACTGTCAGCATGTCAATGAGTCTGGTCGTATCATCGTGTTTTCGTGGTTGAAATTCATGTTTAGATGGATTTGACCAGAATGAGATTAAGTACATCAGATGTTGTCTAATTTATTATTATCTTTCATGTTTTCAACAGAAAATTAATCCACATTCTGATTTGGAATTGAATTTTCATTAAGTCTATACTCTAGAAAAATTCGCAGAGTTGCAAGGCATCAAGTTGATTGATCTTTTGTCATGTTTTTTTAATGTTTTTGATCAGTTTGCAATTTGATCTAAACCAAGTGTATTTGATCTAAACCAAGTGTATTTGATCTAAATCAAATGTATTTGATCTAAGCGCAAGTCTCAGGACTTTCGAGGAAAAATATACATAGTTTTCATAAAAAAATAGTATTTAATTGAAAGACATTTAGCAATATTCGAATGTTTATAAGACGTTACATTTATCCATAGCAAGGCAGCATAGTTTTCAGGGTCGGACTGGCTCGCATCTGAGGGCGTAGACCCTTGGCTGGTTAAAGGGGCGTAATGTGATATTTCCTAGTAGGGCATTCCCTACGTGGAGAGGGGTTCAGAAAATTTTGGCAAATCAGCACAAGTTTACGCTATTTTTAGGTTCAAAGTTTATTGATCGCACGGAGTAAAAATTGCAAAATTGAACGTGAAGCATAGCATTGAGAGCTCACGCTTCCCGTCATTGCGCCTTCAATTTTTCAGAAGCAGCACGGACGTCCATCAAGTACGAATAGTTGTATCTCTGCGCCGTCGTAATCACGCATCCTTTCCCTCCCTCTTATTATGTTTGTTTCCGTTTGTCTTATTCGTAATGGTGCTTCAAGAACTACGTGAGTAATACAGCCGAAGGTAGGAGAGATGTCTTCAGGCCTTTTTTTAAACTTTTCTCCCGAATCAGAGCGACGATTCATCGACAGCATAAAGCAGAGCATTGAGAGCTCACGGTTCGCGTCATCGCGCCTTAAATTTTTCAGATGCAGCACGGACGTCCATCAAGTACGAATAGTTGTATCTCTGCGCCGTAGTTAACGCGCATCCTTCCCCTCGCTTTATTTCCATATTGTGTTTGTTTGCGTTTGTCTTATTTGTAATGTTGCTTCAAACTAGAGCAGAGCATTGCGAGTTCACGACTCATGGCATCGCGTCTTACATTTTTCACATGCAATGTGGACATCCATTTTGCGCGAATAGTTGTATCGCGTTTACATTTTAGATGTCTCTTATTTTTGAATTTCGGGATAAATTAAGGTTAAGCTTGCCCGAGCTATGCTATGGTATGTCCAAATCAATATTCATTTGAAAAGGAGGAATAATGTTTAAATGTCTCTTAAGAGGTCTATAAAAGATGAGTATGTCTAAACATCGAACCGACCATCGCTTCTAAGGAGTTACACATAGCAAATGAAGGAGGGGGATGATAAAGCGCCCGTATGTCAAGAAGATGGTGAAAATTTCACAGAAAATTGTTTACGCTTCAGGAAGTAGTTCTTGGACCTCTATTCTCCACTATCATGCGTTAAAGCACCTTTCTTTACTCCTAACTCTTTCCTCTTCCGATCATTTAAGAAATTTTTCTCACATATTCTCGGTCGTAATTTTTTCTTCTTTTTATTTTGCTATCTGTAAGAGGGGCGCGTTTTCGGCGCGCAAAGGGGGCGTATCTGCCAATGGCAGATTGGCCTTATGGTCAGTCTGAGCCTGATAGTTTTCTTTCCTCAAGTACAATCCTCCTTTATCGCGGGATATGGATGACGAACGACGGAAAACGTAATGGACGGAACACCGCAACGAGCCTAGTCGCAACATCGCTTAGAGAAAAATCGCTATTAGTTCGCCTTCAAATTTGGTGATGCAACCCAACCCCACATCGAAGTTAATTAAGTTGCATTCACCGATTGGCTGTATTTTGGATGTCTCTACGTATCCTGTGCATCTACTACTTACACTTGTGAAATTATCGATGAATTGACAGACATGCTAGGGAGAAACGCCGTATGAACACTTGAATGTTGCCAAATGTCTCTCAAATAAGTGCATATTGTTGAAGAATGATATGAATATTTTTCTTTGAAAATCTCAAATGATCTAGATCGAATTGGGAACGAACTTCAATGAAATATCTGAAAAAAATTATTCAACGTTTGCTGCATGAAATCACGTGTACTTGCAGAAAATTTTAAATCCTCGGATGTTTGAAGGACATGCAGACTTTTAAATATTCCGTCTCAAAGATGTTCAAAATAAGTCATGAACACCCGGGACATGAGATTCAGTCTTGACAAACGCGTATTAAAAAAGCAAGAGGAGAGTGGGCTTAGTAGGCGCATTATGAAGTGATTTAAAGAGGAGGCTGAGATGATTTAATTAACTAACTTTCCAATCCTCCCTCCGTCGGATCAGCCTCAAAAAGTTTTCTTTGATGAAATTCTCCCCGGAAACAATGCCTTAAACCACCATTAAGTCATTTGAGGTTACTTTTCAACGTATTTTGCTTCCAGAATAATTATTATTTTTTATCCTTCGAGAGACTTTCTCGTGTATAACCGGGTTTGATCCTTTTTCCTGTACCTCATTACGAGCGACTAACGTAGCAAGAAGAAGCCAACCCACATTTTTCAAAAAAAAAAAAATTAAATAAAATATAAAAATTATAAAAAAATTTCTCGGAATAGATCCAACCTGGGTTTCTTGTTTTCGTTTTTCTGCTTTAAACTGCGGATTGAACGTATGCGAACATAATCTACAGCCACTTCTTACAACTGTTTTGACTAATATCTAATTTGCACTTACAATTTTCTGACGGAGGATTCTAACTGATTAAATCCAAGTAATATGCAAAAAACGATGCCCATTACTTGAAGATGCCATATACTACTCCAAAATCATATCATAGAATTCTCTGAAGTTTTTCGGTCGTCTCATTAAATTGCTCCTAGCAATCTAGCTCTCGATGACGAACGTGGTGTTCATTTGGGCGTGGCATAAATATCATGACGTAAAATATATAAGTATAATAATTGTTTACACTTTTTATACTATTTGATAAGTTATGGTGAAGAAAATTACACAATCGAAAACTTCCATTCAAACCGCCCCTTCTCCACTGATATCAAAGCAAATTAAGATTAGAGTCAGCAACGAACTTTTCAGACTGTTTAAATTCATAATGTAATTGTAGCTGAAGGGTCAATGAATCGTCATTAACAGTGTGTCATACAAAAATCGAGTTCTTTGAGGGAAAAGTTTCGAGTACGGGTACAGTATCGATTTCCAAAGTGCGAAACCACGAATCTCCTTTTACGACGTCGGAGACTTAGTGTCATACTTTATTTTTTCTTCGGAAAAGCGGTCAACTTAATTTCTCGAAAACTCCATTGATTTTTCTTCTCTATTAGCAGAATATTCCGTAGACCTTTTAAACTATGTAGGTGTCTTGTTTTTCATAAAAAAAAAATAAAATAGGAGCAGAGATTTTAAAGCAACGCAATGGAGATACGTGGTATCGCTCTTTAGCCATCGATATATGACCGTAGCCATCTAGAGAACTTAAAAGGGAAGATTATGGATTTTGAAAACTTATCACTAGCATGCTATCGATGGAATATGAGTAATCACGATTTTCTTCTTATCTTAAGATGCCATACTTTGGAAGCACGATCATTTGACGAATTATACAATAAAATCATAAGAGTAACGCGTTACGTATAACGCCTGAAGCGCGAAGCGCAAGGGGGAGTTGAATTGCAAAGCGGTCAGGGGGCAGACCCCCTCGTAAGTGTCTAATTTTATTAGAAACTGAACAAATATTGATTTTAATTATTGTCAGACCGAGCCACCAGCCTTTTTTGAGACGCGTTTGATTTTACTCCGTAAAAGCCGTGAAAAATAAATAACCGTAATTGGAAAAATACAAGAAATTTTAAAGATTTGAAAACTTTCGGTTGCAAATTTCCGGCAATTGTACTTAAAACAGTGTACCAAGTGTGTGAGGTCACGTATGAAAACAATGCGAATATGCGGTTAGCAAGACATAAATGAGAGCTTGATAGGAGAAATGAATGCTGAACTTACTCCATAATTTCCTAGTATGATGTTCCCCTTGAGCTGGTTGGCCCTCAAAAACACCTGAGTCAAATGATTCACGTTAACGTGCTCAGGATCGGTGTTCTGTTCCTTGTCGTGGTTTGACGTTCCATTCTCTGGCATGCTCTACGATTTCACACACAGAAACCACAAAAATACAAATTGCATTAGGTATATGGAGAAAACAATGGGATATCGATAGCACTATGAGGTGCGATATGTGATAACTGTCAACGAAAATTTAGGTGGAGTTTGTGATCGCGCATCTGCGGACCTCGTACAGATGGTTTCCAGCACGCGTTTGTGCGATCCGGTGTTGTCGTCCCGTGAGTAAACTCTTCCCCTGATGGTGACAAATATTGCCATTTTCAAGTGTCATTTGAATGGTGTTTTTTTTCTTTTTCTTTTTTCTTTTTTTTAAATAGTCATAGAATGGTCGGATATAAATGCGTTGACTGCACGATCAATGATAAATAGATAGATAGATAGATAGATAAATAGATAGATAGATAGATAGATAGATAGATAGATAGATAGATAGATAGATAGATAGATAGATAGATAGATAGATAGATAGATAGATAGATAGATAGATAGATAGAGATGATATATAGATAGATGGGTAGATAAATAGATAGATAGAAGAATAGATATATAGATAGATAGATTGATAGATAGATAGATTTAGCACCTGGAGGGCGAAGCACAAAACACGGAATTCTTTCATCCATAATGCGACTTTTAACAATCACGAGAGGCTGGTGCACGGACAAGAAGAGACCCTTCATTGTCATCTTGGCAATGGTGAAAACTTAAACTTTCGGGACTCCAACATTCAAGCGTTGACTTACCCACTAGCTGGGTGTTGAACAACATGCTGCGGGTATTTCGTCTCGCAAACATACCGAAGTTTGGCAAATGAGTTTGGCGCATTACGTCACTCGGAGCTCATCATCCATCTGGTAGATAGGTCATCAACCGAAAACAGGTTGATTATTGTTGCTCTCTCTCATCTACCAGGTCGTGTCGAATCCCCGTAAAAGTTTCCACCTGTCGCCAAAAGCCCAGTGGATCTCTCTTCGTCTCTGGGTTGGTGCTTATTGGTTTCAAAAATAAACGCCTGGATTCTGGGCCGCAAGTAGCTCGAGGTTAATCTCCGCGCCGGAAATGCACGGGGTACTATGCTGCCGTGCTAAGGAAGAACGCCGTAAGAACATTCGAGAGTTGCCGAATTTCCCTCAATAAAATGTTTATTTTTGCGGAAAGTTATGCATATTTTACCTCAAAATTTTCAGATCTTATGAATGAAACTTTGAACAGACTTATCTGAAGAATTAGAGGAAAAGGATTCAGAATTTTTCTAGTTAATTCGCGTTTCATCAAAGGAAATTTGGCAGCGCCTGACGGTTCATACGGCGTTTTTCCCTTAGCACGGGATGCTATGCCACGATCGCGGCGGAAGATGATACGACTAAAACCTCATCGGAGTTTCGCTCCAGGAGGTAAGCGTCGGTAAGCCGCCGGGAAAATCTATGTTATCATTCGAGGTTTGGATATTACGCTCGACCTGATTATCATTTCACTTTCGTCGGCGAAAATGAGTCTTCCTCCTTGCCCAATCGATAGTCCGTCGGAATGATCACCGTGGAATCTGATATTTACTCGTAATAATTATTCTCCTGCAGATATTCCATTACGAGGCTGAGTAAAAAGTATGCTGTTCTCAAGCCCTACCTATCACTACCGTCTATGATCTATCATAAGATTAAAAGTTTGAGTAGGCACGACGAGTCAAAATTGCACTAAAAAAAATTTGGTATATAGATTTTACCATATTCTGACACGAAGATAAGAGTATGGCAATGAACACTAGACTTTATGGTAATATTTACAATAGTATGGTGACTACCACCAGAATTCCGATATATACTACTGTAATTCTGGTTATTTTCACTAAATAGTATCACTGCGGGGCGATTATTGAAATGATATCGACTGTATGTCAGCGCTTTGTCGAGTCGCGCCATCGACTAAGCCATTGCTTAGTCGATGGCGCGACACGACAAAGCGCTGACATACAGTCGATATCATTTCAATAATCGCCCCGCTGGGTAGAAAATCGAGTAGACCTGCAGTAGATGTTACCATACTTTTTTTTTCAGTGTGGACCGCGTTTAGCAGAAAGGAACCAATCCACATCAGCTATTGCCAAATTTAATCGGGCAATTTAAATTTTCACATGAAAACGGTTGTGAGGATTTTGGTGCAAATTTCAGTGAATTTTCTGCATAGTGCAAAGCAAATTCCTTAAAATTTTCAAAAGAATCCGCACAAATGTTCTCTTGCGAAATATTAAATTGCTCAGACAATATTGGCAATAGCTGATGTGCCTTGGTTCCTTTCTACTGAACGCGGTCTAATTCCATTTAAACCCATCCTAGCGCCTCTGGTTCCTGTCAAACGGAACCAGAGACAGGTGGGAAAAAAGGAATGTGCCTGTCAGTCGAGGGCCATAAGAATGAATGGGAATTATAAAGCGCCAGTGACGTCAGCAGAAACGAGGCGCGGTTATGAATCATTAACTCATGAGCCCTGTCGAAAACGCTCTTGGCATATGCCCATGGCTCATGAGTGCCGCATTTAGTTGGTACATAGTTCCGTTTGACAGAATGTAAAATCCCGCTTTTCCATCTCTCCAAAGTAACCAAACTCACTGTTATATTATTTCTTATGCAGCTTTCTAGAGCACATCCCATCTTTCCCACTCGTCTATGGGTCCGTTTGACAGAAATACGTCAAGTTGAAAAAAGAAAGATTAAAGTCTTCGGATATTTTTACAGTGCATATTAACTACCGAATAAAGGATAACGCAACAGTAATATGGACGTATTTCTGTTAAACGGAACTAAGCGCCAATTTGAGTTACTTTTGAGGATTTTAGAATCCCGGATAGCGCATTCTGTCAAACGGAACTAAGCGCCATGGAAAAGCATTGCGAGTATAGGACGGAACGAGCATCGCGTTCCGCAACACCCGCCAATCCAAGCCCCCCTCTCCCTTCCTCCCCCCGTGGCGCTTAGTTCTGTTTGATAGAAATACGTCCATATGACATCTATGCACCCTCTAATGTCAGGAATATTGTATTTCTTCTAATTAAAAGAAGTGTCAGCGTTTGTAAAGTGACAACATGAATTATTAAAAAATCTACTTACATTTGGGGTCGTTCTCATGGTTGAGAATTTTCTCAAAATTTTAGGAAAAGATGAAAGCTTGTTGTGTGAGGCCGACAGAATCTCAAGCCGCGGGAACGCTTTCTCGTCGGCGTTGATCTCATAGAGCTCATTATGATCGAGGCGCAGTTCTCTCAATCTGAAACAGAAATTAGATAAAAGGTTGATTAATACTGGCTATTAAAAATTGACGCTTGTGAAGCCACAAACGGAATGGGAGAGGTGACATAAAAAATGCAAAAATCACACTTTGTGTGATAAAGTCAATAAAAAATGACACTTGGTGTGACAAAGTCTATTAAAAAAATGACAGAGGGATTAAATAGTTTCTATGTAAATCATCAGTGTCGACGGGAGATTCATCTTTTTTTGTCAACACGTAGACAGTCACCTTTACACTCACTTGCGTTCGGCGTCCATATTAGATGAGAGTAGGCATATTTAAAAAGTGAAATTACTCACTATGTTTTTGAAACATGGTAAGTGTAATGATCTAGTTCACAGAGACTCAGAGTATTTTATTATGTTTTGCTTTTTTGCATACAAAATTCAACGATCATAAATGGATCATTTGACCAGCGTCACTGAATGACTACAAGATTGGAGATAAGAGTCAAAAGATGAGTCAAAGATTAAGGATGAAGTTATGCCAGTCAAACAGTTGCGTTTTTTGCATCTCACTTTACATACATTTAAAAAGCCAATTATCTGAATTCTCATTTGAAATTTGTCGTTTCTGAAATAAACCAAAAAGTGAGCTACTTTTGGATTAACAGTGTCCAACTATGCAACTTTCTGTATTTACACGGCTCTTGAATAGTTCCGCTGCGCTCACTGTCTCTTTGTTATCTTCAAATTCGAGACGCTTAAGTCGACGGACATGACATCCCAATTAAAGACGGATGCGCTTTGTATTTGAAGTATGGAACAGAAATTAAGGGGTGGAACTCCTGTTCCTAACGGTAAACGGAATTCAAGATGACCTTTACAGTGAACTTATGCACTGTTTCTTCACGTTGTTTATTTTCAGTAATTTATGAATACACACCCAAATGGAAACTTTGTCGTAAACAGTTTTAAGGGAGTTTATTTTGACGAAAGAGGAGATAAATGATGTCATAGATAAAAAACGGTGTTGTTTCAATCGGCATTCTTATATGGAACTAATTATTATTAATGGTTGTGAGTGCCTGTCTTATCAAACTGGGTTCATGATCTCATTGTTAAGAAAAATGTTGTTGAAGGAAGAAAAGGGGGGAAAATCAAGAGTATTAAAGCATTACGAGTCGCAATGTTTCCTTAGATTTCTACCCCCAACCCTATTTTGTTACGTATGAAACGGAAATTCGTACTTTTCTATCTGAGTTATAAGACGTCGCGTTGGACTTCTCCACTTTAATCGTTTTTGATCAAAATCTGGCACAAAAATTTCTTGTCTCAAAAATGTCACATCATTTATTGTAAGAAATATGTATCGTTATGCACTGAGAGCAACGGGTAACTTCTATCTGCTTTTTTCTCCCTAAGAGCATTACGAGTAGCACTTGAAATCTTAGCTAAAACCATTAATCGTCTTCCCTAATCTGTAATTTGAACCATGTTACCCCTGTAAAGCTCTAGAAAAATTCAAAAAGCAAAATTCCCAAAATTTGGAGTCTAAACTTTTTTCTTTTTTTTCGCTTTATGTTCTAATCATAGAGGCCCTGGTAAAAATTGGCGATAGGAGCTGCGTTTCAAAATACCATAAGAGTTTTATAACCGACTGAAGAAGGCGATAGAAAATCATACAGCTGGCTACAGAGAGTGAAAAAAATCATACGGCCGGGCTACACGAAGCGATAAAAAATTATACAGACGGGCTAAGGTTCCTATCGCCGGGCTTTACACTTTATCGCCTGGCTGTTGCTTTTTCGCCATCGGCAATAAAAGGCTATAAGAAATTGTGAAGAAATTCGTGTGCTTTGTGAATCCTTAAGTTTGTACGGAATCACCTTAACATTTACAAAACGAACATTATATTTTCCTTTACTACATATTTTTTTTTTCCATCAATTAAACTGAGAATAATCCATACAGAGTGTGCAAACATTTCAAAGTCATGAGTTGAAAAACGCTGACTCCACGAGATTAAATATTAGAGCGTAACACAAAGCGGAGCGGCGGCGCACTGGCGCCTTCAAACCTAACAGGGATACTTGACGCATTGCGCAATGCTTGAAGTATCCCTGTTAGGTTTGAAGGCGCCAATCCGCGTTTCGCGCTGGCTGCCCGCCCGCCGCGCCGCACTATGGTCCGAATAGCCGGTTTAAGCGGCATTAAATCAGATACATATGTTTAAACCTCGCAACATGAGTTTTCAGGGGTTTTTAGGGTCGCTGAGTGCAAAAATGCTAATATTCTTCAGGAAAAATCCATTTTTAACATGTTTATACTTTATATAAGTGTGGTAATATTTTGTTCAGAAACCTTAAATTGAGGCGTGTAACTCAAGATGACGCGGTGGAGCAGTTGACATCGCGTTTCACTCGTCTTCTTGATATCCCGGATTCGATTCTCGGTAGATTTTTTTTTTTTTTT